GTGTGTTTCTCCAATTGGGGCTCTGTGGTAGGTTCTGGCTCCCCCCCCCAAAGTACCCCACGCCGCCCGGGGGCGGGGGGGAAATTCTGGGAGTTGAAGTCCACCCATCTTCAAGTGGCCAAGGTTGAGAAACACTGGTCTACGCAGCAGCATGGTTGGAGTGACTGGTTGCAACCGGTCACGTTCTTGCTGATCTGAACGTCATTCCGTCAACACCAGCCGTTGCCTGAAACGCAGCCCTTCCTCCGGGGCCGTTTCTGACCCGGGATGGTGAGCGATCTCCCCACCGGCTGGGCACCTGGTTGGGGACAGCTGGAAGAGGTACCGCACGACCGCGTTTGTGTTTGCAAGACATCTGCCCTTGCCAGAGCTTTGGGGAGAAGAGAGCAAAGCAAACAAGCCCCCCCCCTTCTATCAGGGCAGCTGGTGTGTTCCCCAAGTCATGTGAGTTGTGTGTATGTGTGTGTGTGTGTGGGGGGGAGCTCTTTGCCAATCGCTGTGGGAAGGTGGACAGCCGGCGGAGGCCTCCCCTGTGGATGGTCAGCACGATATGTTGCCAGTTAGGGCGGCGTATAAAAAGACGGCGGAGCAAGGCTGTTTCCCGTTTGCTGCCCAGTTTGGTGAAAATGAGGGTCCTGGGGCTCTTGGCGACTTTCCTGGCCGTCGCGTTTGGCACCGACACCTTTGAGGGGTAGGTAGACACGGGCATTGGATGGGAAAGGGCACGGCGGCCAGAGTGAGAATTCCCCCAGTGCCATTTTTGGTCCCTTAGCAGCCTCGGTCGCCAGGGCATTTCCCTGGGACAAATCTTGGACCCCCTTCCCAGGACCTCGGCAGTGGTGCTTCCAGATCGGAGTCTTACGACTCTTTTCAATATTTCTGTTAGCAAAATGCACTTTCTTTGAAAAACTTGGAGCCTGAAGGCCTAGACCCAGCGCTTTTTTAGAAGGTTGGTGGCTGTGTTCGGACCCCACGCTGAACCACTTCATCGCAGCTGCCTTCGTGCAACCTGCAAAGCTTGGCTGCTTTTAATCCAGGTTTCTTCAAGGGTTTGGGGGGGTTACCATGTTGTGTGAACCCAGCCTGTTTGGTTTAGTTTTGGGTTCAGGGATGGTCAGGAAGTGGCCGGTAGTTGGAGACCCAATTTGCACTGGGGCCCCGCTAATAAAGGGGTCGGGGGCCACCAGTTCCCAACCCAGCTTTAGAGGAAGATGTGTGGGAAAGGGATCCAGGGTGCGCTTTCCCTGCAGACGGTCCCTCATCCGATTCTCCTTTCACTAGAGCAGATTCCATCACGGGATCTCCAGGTCAGGCTGGGAAGGATCCCCCCAAGCTTTAACAATGCCCTGGCTGAAGAAAGGATCGCTTGGGGTGCTTCTGTCTTGAGCAGTTGGGCAGATCAGAGGAAGGTCTCATTTAGCACAAACATCTCTAGCGCGGCTGAACAGGTTTCTTCCCTTCTGAGTTCCTCCCGTGGGATTCTGCGTGTTTCCTGCAGGCCAGGAAGTTGGGCATGACCTATTGAAGGGGATGGCCTGGAAAATGATCCCACTCAACGGGTGGTGGCTGAACTTGCCTGGGCTTGGATGTTAAGCGGAGGCAAGGCCAGTCCGCAGTTGGATGGGAGGCCAATAGGAAATCGCAGCGCTGTAGTCCAGGCTGGGAAATAAATTAAACAAACAAACAGAAGCAGCACTGGAAAATCTCTTTTATCCTATTGAGAGAAAACAATATGGTCATGTTTCGGAAGTCAGCAGGCATCCAGGCTAATTTGGCTGAAAGAAGAGCTATTTTTGGAAACTGTTCTCTACTCCATAGGAGTCCCCTGCTCTTTGATAGTTAAGGAAAAAAAAGTGTTTTCTACAGCTAAGAAGTTGGCTTCTCGCTTTACAATGGCACATGCTGATGCAAACGGTACTCTAGTGCCACCTAGTGCCAGAAAGCAAGCATTACAACATCACTTGTGCCGGATAAACAGGGCACACGGGCCCTTTGCCGCGATTCAGAAACGGCTCCAGGACGGATGGGCCCAACCTCAGGAGGCTGGCTGCTTTGAGTCTGTGCATGCCTTGCTTCTGGCTCCTGGGCCCAACCCGCCATTACAGGTGCTTCCCCCATCCCACCCGGGATAAGGTTCTGCATCCTTATTTGCTAGAGCTGTGCCGAATTCTGGGTCTGAAAGGGAAAATGCAATTCCAAGCATGCAGGAGTGTGTATGTAGCACAACGCCTCTTTTTCTGAGATCACGCAGCACCCCAGAGGGCAGCTGTTCAGTGTCAGGAAAAGGCATGGCTGTTTTAGGATGTCCCCAACAGCTGCTACGTGCACACTCTTGCATGCATAATCACATTTTGCCCTTTGAATCTGGATCTTTTCATAGTTCTTTCCATCACGACATGCTGACAGGCTGTTGTTTCACATGGTCTTTTCAGTGCAACACAGGAATGGTGACTTGGAGGCTTAGCAGAAATCTCTCACGGCAACCCCTCAGAGTTTTTTTCCCCCTTTTCTGTGCAACCAGAGGACTGTGCACCACATAACCAAAAAAGCTTAGTGCCCCATAGAAGGTTGGGACTTCTGTTTCTATCACCCCACACAAGCTGATGTCCACTGACACAGAGCCGTGGGAATTTTATATCTATTCTTGCATCTATTTATTTTCTATCTATTAAGAGTGTTTTATATTATAATTTTAATTGATTTTAACTGTTCTGTAAACCGCCCAGAGTTGTTTCAACTAGATGGGCGGGGACACATTTGATATATAAATAAATAAATATAAATAAGTAAATACATTGTAATCCAAAAGATCTGCAAGTGACCAAGTTGCCTCTTCTTAACTAATGTTTT